CTGGTTGCCCCCCGCATCCGCGTCACTACCCGAACTGTTCACCTCCCAAACGTCGGCGGCGGGTCTGCTAGGCGAAGTCCGGAGTGAGGCGTAGTACTTTGCAACAGCACCCGTCGTAGCCTTCGATTCCGGACCTCCTGTAGCCTTGGCATGGTTGCGGGCGACTTGACCTGCGCCTGCCCGCAAGGAGGCAGCCTCGTCGGAGACCGCGTTGTCACTCCGGTTGCCGTTCGTGCATCCGGTAAAATCCACGTCAACGGTGTCGCTCTGTTCACCGCCACCGGCGCCGCCATCTACGCCTTCCGCCATGCCCACGCCCCCAGAGGTGGTGACTCCCGCAGCACCGGTACCGCTACGACCAAAAACCGGTGCCATCGGCGACTCCAATATAGCCAGCCTTTCCGCAACAGCCGCGTCCGCCTTGTCATTCTGGCCGATCTGCCGATACAGTTTCTCCATCGTGTCCAGCTCCAGAAGCCTATCCTTCCTCTGGTCTGCCTTCGCCGCCTGTTCCAGGGTACCAGAAATCAGTGCTACCTGCTGCGTCACCTTCAGCAGAGCAGCGGAGCTCTCTCGGGAAATCTTAAGCTGTTTCGCCATCCCTGCTGCCTCGCCCCGACCTTTCTTCTTCTCCTCGCGATCCCTCTCCTTCGTGGCCCTCCTACCGAGGACCTCGGTGGCACTCGACAACACCTTCATGGCGTGCTTGCTCCTCACTGCCGACTTGCTTCCCCCAGACGCCCCGCCACTACTGTTGGCCCTTTTCTTTCCCTTCATTTTTGCCGCCTTAGTCGTTGCAAGCTTTCGCCGCTTGCCCTCGCCGGTGTCGCCGCTGGACTTGCTGGGGTTTCCCTCCCCAGAGCTCGAGGCAGACGCGTTACTCCCCGCAGATGATTCGCCGTCTTCAAATCCGCCGCCGCCACCGCCGCCGCTGCTGCTGCTGCTGCCGCCACCGCCGCCGCCGCCGCAGTCGAAGTCGTCGTCGTCGTAGTAGTAGTCCTCGTCGTCGTCGTCGCTGAGGCCTCCGCCACCCACCCCTTGAACGTCAGGGCCGTTGGAGGCCGTGAACGATACGTCCTCGTCCGGGTTTGCGGCCAGCGGTCCGTACAACAGCCACGTAAACCAGTACGGAGGGAGAAAGTTCTCGGGTAGCTCCTTGTTGAGGAGGTCGTCACGGTTCGGGATAGTCGGGATCGTGATCATCTCGGCTAATCTCGGGTTTTGCGTCTGGCGCTTCTTCTGCAGCGCCTCCCTCCGTTTTTTTTCGACCTCTTTGATCTTCCTGTTGGCAGCATCTTTGACCTGGTCCTCCCACACCTTTTCGATGACCTCCATCATCACGTCCCCGTTCTGTTCTCCAGATCTCGGCTGCCCCTGTTCGTTTGTCGCGCTGCACATGTGTGTACAACCGACGACGAGGACACAGGGGGGCGCTGCGTACAATGAGGAGGTGCCTCCAAACCTACCTCGCGAACAAAGACAGATGTAGCCGAGAACCCAGACCAAGATTTAACAGGGCGTATGTCGTCATTGAAAGGTAGCCAACAAAAAGAAATACACTTCTAGTACAACTAACACCATAGCGCGGTGCTGTCCCGTGCAATACACCAACCTCCCCGATTTTTGGACGAACAAAAACTCTAAAAAAAAACACCACAACGTCGACCGTGGCTCCTGAGCAATACGAGCATGCCCCCGGATTGTGAACTACACCACCAACGTCGCCCAAGGTTTTAATTGGCATTTCAACCAGGAACCGGTAACGCGGGATATAACCAATGTCGGGCACGTGTGCCCTCCTACAGTAGTGCGTGCGCCGACCCCGCTCGATCACGTCGCTCATTGTCTTCCTCGTCCAAAAAGGCAGGTCGGGAACAAACAAAACCCTCGGATGTTCAACGTACCTGTTGTAGTGCACCGTGTAGTTCTTCAGTTCGCGCCGCTGCTCCTGACCCCGTATCAACACTTTTTCAAGTTCGGATCAAAGAGGCTGTGCTTCGCTGCGTACGAAAACAGCGGGCAGACACAGAGACACAGGTGGCGAAGAGAGGCAGATGTGAGGAGTGAAGAGGGACATCAAGGGAAGAGGGAGGATTGAAACGCATGTGCTACACTTTCCGTATCTGACGGCAGTTTTCCCGTGGAGGCTTGTTTCTTGACGCTACCGGCACACGCACGGCGTCACCTCAGGTGGCCACCTACAGCAGTACGTACATACCGATGGCTCCAGACCGTTCGCGCCGGCGACGGCGGCGGTGGCGACGGCGACATTCATACACACAGAGGGAGGTCTCAAAAAGCGTGTTGGCCATGCCGTTTACGATGGCAGTTTTCCCCGTGGAGGTTTGGTTCTTGGTGCTACCGCACGCACGGCGTCACCTCAGGTGGCCGTCTACAGCAGTACGTACATACAGATGGCTTCCAGACCGTTCGCGCCGGCGACGGCGGCGGTGGCGACGGCGACATTCATACACACAAAGAGGGAGGTCTCAAAAAGCGTGTTGGCCATGCCGTTTACGATGGCAGTTTTCCCCGCGGAGGTTTGGTTCTTGGTGCTACCGGCACACGCACGGCGTCACCTCAGGTGGCCGTCTACAGCAGTACGTACATACAGATGGCTTCCAGACCGTTCGCGCCGGCGACGGCGGCGGCGGCGGCGGCGGCGACATACTTACACACACAAAGGGAGGTCTCGTAGCATGTGACCCATGCCGTCCGTTTCTCTCGGCAGGTTTTCCCCACGGACGTTACTTTGTGTTTTTGGCACACGCACGGCGTCACCTCAGGTGGCCGTCTACAGCAGTACGAACAGGTGGTTTCCAGACCGCCGCCGCCACCGTCGCCGCGGCCGCCGACAAACACAAAAAAATGTACCTGGTATGTATATATTTAATGTCACCCATGCGTATCTGATGCCAGTTTTTCTGCGCGGATGTTTGTTTCTTGACGCTACCGCACACATATGGCGTCATCTCACGCGGGAACTACAGGTGAAATAGCGGACGCCGCCAANCGGCGTTGCTGATGCGTCCAGGCCCCGCCTCTCGGTCCCATGGCAACGAATCGATTCCACGACCAAACTATCTCCTGTCGTGGCTGATCGGCCCCCCATGACTCAATTGGCTTGCACTCGCTCAGAACAGGGGGCAAGTTGGCCATGCTCGCGGTGTTTCGTTGCGGATGGTACGCACGCACGCCCGTCCGCAGGGAAAGGATGGTCTGCTGGGAGTGCGGTACATAGAATCGCGCCCATTTTTGAATTCTCCGCTCCGTGCATCATAATCTACCCCCCCAACGCTCCGGATTCCTGTTTCCCCATAACTTGGTCGGCACCAGAATACCAAATTGGAATTCGGCGTTGGAATTTGTTTTCCCAGGGCGGAGGATTCCAAATTTGGAATT